ATTGCAAAAAGCAATAATCTGCTTTAAAGTTTTATATCAAATAAACAACAGTCTTAGCAGTATTAAAGTTGAAAAAAAAAAATCTTCAAACTTTTTTTCAATATTCATCTTTTAACTGTTACTTACAGATCGTTTGCTGCAATATTTGTTGCTAAAATTTAGACAGTTCTATCACTGATGCAGTCATCAAACTGTTACTGCCAAAAAGTGAAAACTACTATTGATAATAAAATGCCCTAAAAACAATGGATTTTGTCTGATAAAATAAATTATTGCAGTAATAGTCAGTCGAACACCGTTAACAGTTATACCATATTTGATCAGCAATATCTTTTTCTTTCAAACTTTTTATCGCTTAATTACACAAAGCAGTTAAAATAGATAAAAAAGAAAAAACAACTTGAGCAATGCATAAAATAGGATCAAACTTATACTGGTAACTGTGTCGTAAAAATTACTGTTTATATAGCTGCAAAAATTATGAAAACTTGTATTCAACGGTTTTAAACTTTTTATGAGGTTAAAAAAGTACATATTTGATGACGCACGATTATTACTAATTGAGAAGAAAAAAACGAACAAACAAATAAAGATATCAATCATTGTACAGTGGGCGATTTCAAAGGCTTATATGATATAATAATTGCACTTTTTTAGAGAGACCAATTATGGTTTTACTATTTCACATCAATTTTTGTCTTCTATTTGCCTAAACAATAAAAATCTGTTTAGTGAGTTTGTTTTGCAAGCTTAAAGATGTCAGTATTATGAGCTACTACCGCTTCAGTCAAAGTAAAGTTAGATACAAAGCTATATTTAATCAAATTTTACCCCAAAAATCCTTATTCCAGCAAACGTCAATAGTTGTCTTAAAACAGCCAAATTCTCAATTACGAACGCTTGTGGAATGTAAGTAACAGAACTTTCTTAAAATAAAAGATTATCAGTGCTAAAAATGAAAGTAATATGCATTTAAAATACAGCGTTAATAAACGTTAAGGATAGACAGAAAAGGATAAATTATTTCTTCAACAAAAAAGGCAAAAGGAATTGAAACCTGTCAGAATACATATGACCAGGTTTTGATGTGTTTCAAAAAAAGTGACAACTTTGCACAAAACCCTTGTAAAAAAATGGTACAGATAAAATTCTAAAACTAATTTACCACATTTTTCCTTCTGCAAACAGCACTGTTAATGTATGTAAGGCTCAATCCATTATTTTGGCAAAAAAATTATTGTTATTGTTGAATTTTGTTCAGTTTCTCAGTTAGTGCCTGCCTTACCTGTAGTGCACTGAAACTCAAAAAATTAGGCTGAAATTT